GTTAAATAATTTTTTGTAAACAATAATTTTTATTAAATAATTTTTTTTGTAAACAATAATTTTGTTAAATAATTTTTTTGTAAACAATAATTTTTATTAAATAATTTTTTTTGTAAACAATTATTTTTATTAAATAATTTTTTTTTGTAAACAATAATTTTTATTAAATAGATAAATTTTTAAGATTTTATTAGCGTTCATTAGCGTATTAAAGAAAAGGGAAAAAGGGAAGGATAAGATAAATAAAAAAAATGAGTAACCATTTGTAAAAGATTGAGATATTTATTTCAACCTGTGGAAAACACATCCATATCCTCCAAAGACCGAACACCATCTGCAGAATCAGTTGGCCCGCGACTTTGGAAGTGACCACCTACATGGAGTAAACCATCAAAAATCTGGTGACAGCGGCTAAAACTCACCTCATAGTGTCCGGGAGACGGGTAACCATCGTGCAAGCGACAAGGGCCTCTTGCTCCTGGGATCGTACAAAATTTGTGCGTTCTGTTAGCACGGGACGTGACATCATACGTTAATCATGAATCTAGTCACTTTGAAATCATATTTAAATTATAATACTGTGACGGGAGAGTAAAGACTTACTTATCGACTATGAAACATAGGCCGGTAAAACAGACCTATTGGAATACATTGAGAAAAATCATAAATTTCTAATAACAGATTTTTAGCCTTAATGTATAGGAAGCAATTCGAATCATCGACAAAATCTTACACTGCAACTACCGTTATGTGTTCATATAAATTGTACAACGCAGGCAATTACAATTTACGATCTTCAACAATATGGCAATTACTTGAAATTTGACTTTAACACGCTTAAAAACTAACGCAAAATTAATATTATTGGAGAAAGGTGATTAAACTAATCAGTTTAAATAATAAATATATATATATTCAAAAATTATTATGTGATATAAAAAATTAAGAAATTATAAAATATATAATATAACAATTAAACAGATGATATAAAATAAGAAAAACAGGAATAACGAAAATGAATATAATTAAAAAAAAAAAGCGAATATATATGCAAACAAAAAATAATAAAATTAATATAAAAAAAATATATAAAAGTACATAAAAAAAAGGGAATATATATATATAATATAAAATTAGATGATGAAACGAATAATTGATCAAATTAAGTCCCGGGCGCGCTCCCAAAAATTTGGCTGTGCTGGCCCCTCGATCGGCTCTTCCTCCGGCTCGAGAAATGGCTCTTCCGCCGGTTCAGTGAATTGCTCCTCTATTTCCCGAGTCAACATCCCTAACGATTGCACCAATTGGTGCCCATCCTCTGCCTCAATAGGCTCGGTGAATTGCAGGATCACACGAGCACTGTCCCCCAGATCGATGAATGTCCCGTAGAGAAGGACCATTCGAGAGTTCCCTTCTCCGACAGACACTATCGAAATTAACTCCATGTGATGATCCATGGTCTTAATAATCTGAAATCAATCAAAAACGAATTAGTAATGCCTCTAGATTGAATTTACCTGAAAATAAAACAAATTAATAAATTCTACAAAAACTCAAAAATTTTTAAATTTAAATTTTTCAAAACCTTTTATTGCCAGAATAATCTCAGGACTCAAGCGAACTTTACGGACCGAACTCAAAATAGTTATCTCTAAACGTTTCCGATTTATAGCAAACTCAAAAATTTTTAGTAAAACTCTATAATTCGAATATTCAAGCTGGATTAAGGTTATTATTGTTTATAATACATCGCTACGACGTCCCGCTCGCGAGATATCGACATTTTTGAAAAACCACTATGCGTTAAAATAATCTATAAAAAATAACAATAATAATGGTAAAAGTCAAAATTTTCAATAACTTACCGTTTTCCAAGGAATCGCGAAGGAAAGAAATATTTTTATAACACTTTCTCTCTGCATGTGTAACGTCCCGTAAAATTTCTGAAAAATAAAATAATCAATTAGTTGTCAGTAGAGATATATCCTCAATTATTAAATTGCATGACCAAATATAATCTAGTAATTTAAGATTATAATATTTAAGGTGGATGTTTCGGAATAAATAAATTTAATTATCTTTAAATAATAATGCTATCGTGAAACATAAGGTTTCATCAATAGATTATAAACGTTAAATTCTCAATTGCTAATTATCCAGTAAATTCAAAGCTATATAATTTATTCTCGGATCTC